GACACGTCGCTCTCCTGAGGCTCATTCACGTCCGCTTTGTCGTCGTCTTCCCCGGCGCAGGGGCCGGCCGGTTATTTCCTCTTTGATGGTGCTTGATGTGGCCACGTGCGAACAATACATGTGACGTGGTGTCTTGATGAACGGGCAGTAGCGTGTGCCTGTAATGGACAGGAACCTACACCAGCAGTGTAGCAAAGGCACAAGTGCGTGTTTCCAGGCAATAGCAATTCGGTGGTGATACACCAGAGTCTGTAAGGTTTCATTTCTGCCGAATAGCAGGCTGTGCAGGGAGTAAATGTATGAATTCACGCGCCGTGATACTTTGGCAAACACTGGCATATGCGGCGGTGAAGAACGGAAGCTGCAGAAAGCTTGCACACGAAGTATTACTGTATCGTGAAAAATTTCGTAGACCACCGCGCTTACAGGAGCCGGGAATGTGGCGGTGATGGACGGGATGGTGCAAGGCATCACTTTGGTACGGTGGCAGCCCATGCCATAAAAAAATACACGACTGTTTTACGGAAAAGCTAACACATTTTTGGTCATTAGCGCATAAAACTCACAGAACATTTCGTATTTTCCGTACATTTAAAGGGTGTATTTCTTTGCATGCACAGGCACTGGCGTAAGTACTAACGCATAGGTACTCTGTCTGACAGAACTGGTGTAAAAACATTAATTTAAGTTTTCTTTCATCTGCGTGTGGGCAAGACCCAGCAAACTGTAGTAAGTTTTCATGTTTATTTATCATGTTGTGCCCAGAACCGCTGCTAACTCCAATAAAGTGGGAAAAGCCTTGCATTCCCTTCAAACATATACGATTCAATGTTTTGTTTTCTGAAATGATTAAATAATTCAACGGTTTCTTGTTCCTTAAACATTAGGACTAACTTATTGTTAAGTATTACATAGAAGGTGTTTTATCATTTCGTCCGTAATATTTAACCTAACTAATTTAACGCAAGAAATGAAATACCCTATTACCAACTAGTTAGAGGCATGCACATAGGTATTTGGCTTTGATAATTGTACTTAATTTTTCATAGTAGGTAAACGTTTCCCCAGTTTACAAAAAGGAATATAGGTACACTGATGGGTCCAGGGAGGGGTGGGAAGGGGGTGGGCTTAAGGGGCAAATGACCCTCCCAAATCCGTTCAACGTTCACGCTGACGTTCTTTTTTTACAGAGGAACTACTCCGCTAGGCGGAGAATGGCTCGAAATTACAGGAGAAAAATCGATCGGCAATCCTGGAAGCAGGATACAATGGCAACGGCCATCAAAGCAGTCAAGGGGGGAAATGTCCACCAAAGAAGCGGCACGCCGCTTTCTGGTCCCGAAGTCGACTCTCGACAGACGCCTGAAAAAGGCGCGAGCAATGTCAAGAACAGAGGCCACAGAGAAGGTCCTGGGTTGACACAAACCTGTTTTCATGGAAGCTCAGGAGCGAGATTTGGTACAGCACATAATGGAGCTCCAAAACCGGATGTTCGGAATAACGCTGACTGATCTCAAGAAGCTCGCATATGAGTTCGCAGACAGAAACAAAATCATTCACCCATTCAACACGGTGCCGAAGATGGCAGGGGAGGCGCGGATACGGCGCTTCCGCAAGAGGAACCCCGCGGTCTCACTAAGGGCACCAAAGGCCACAAGAGTTGCTCGCGCCGCGGCGTTCAACTCAGTCAATGTCAACGCGTTCTTCGACAACCTTGAGTCGCAGATGGATTCTGCCCAGTTCGGTCTCACACGCATCTACAACATGGATGAAACGTGACTCAAGACGGCCGCAACAAAACAAGAGAAGGTGCTGGCGAGGGAAGGGTGCAAGCACGTCGGCCAACTGACATCTGCGGAACGAGGCACGCTGGTTACCGAGGTGATGTGTATCAACGCTGCGGGGAGCTACATACCTCCAGGTGTGATATTTCCAGGAAAGAGTGCCAACCAGCAGTTGGAGAAGGGTCTTCCCCAGGTAGCCTGGTGCTGTACCATGAGTCTGGTTGGATGCAGAAGGAGCTGCTCGTGAAATGGCTTAACCATTTCATACAGCACGCGAAGCCCTCGAAACAGGATCCGGTCCTTCTCATACTGGATGGACATGCCAGCCACACCAAGAGCCTCGCAGCCATCCTACTGTGCAGGGAAGCAGGTGTGGTGATGCTCACCATGCCTCCTCACACCTCACACCGCCTTCAACCACTGGACTGGACGTTCATGCTTCCCGTCAGCACCTTCTTCTTCCAAGATCAGAGAACGTGGCTCCGAAACAACCCTGATAAAGTCATCACACTGTATGAGATGGGGGAGCTGATTGGGTCAGCCTACGTGCAGGCGGCAACAGTGAAGACGGCGTTGAAGGGCTTCAAAGTCACGGGGATCTTTCCCACAAACCGCCATGTGTTTGGCGAAGAAGGCTTCGCAGCGGCAGAAACAACGAACATCCCGCTGATCGGCACCGCAGACGCACCAGTGGGTCTCAACTCAGCAGCAGCTCCTTTGCCCATGCCTGGACCCTCTGACGTTGATGTCTCGGTGAGCATGAACGTTCGGGAGTCCTCGGAAACTGTCGCCGGAGACGCAACGCATGCTGGAATATCAGGGCAGGGAACCTCGACTAATGCCGAAACTCCGGCGAAGTTGCTCACCACTGGGGCTCTGCCAGACGATTTCTCAAGCTCTAGCGATGACGAAGATGACGTTCTAGAAGTGTCATGCTCAGCTGGACCGAGCCATGCTTCCCAAGATCAAAATGACACACCCGCAAGCTCGTATGTGTCTCCCCGCGAAATCCTCCCTGTGACAAAAGTGCACTCAAGGGAGGAGAGAGGTAAAGGACGAAAGAAAGGTAAAACATGTGTCTTGACTGGCACACCATACGAGGGGGAACTCGAGAAGAGACTCGAAGGAAAAAGAAGGTAGACAGGGAGGAAAGAAAAATGACGACAGAATTCAGTCTAAAGGAAGAAAAGGAGGAATGTGGAAACTCAGAAACCGCAGCACTAACAAGAGAAGCGTACGCCGCGAAAGCTTACCTTTGAGAGTCCTCGGACAAAGAAGATGTGGCTTGTCTGTACTGCGGGTCCTTCTTCTCCATGTCCAAATCGAACGAGTCTTGGTCGCGATGTGCTCTCTGCGATAAGTGGGCGCACGATGCCTGTGCAGGGATTGATGAAAAGGACGAGTGTGTGTTCGTGTGCGAACTGTGCCGGGATGGCTAGGCAGGCTGATGTCTTGCCTAGTTTCGTCATTGGTCGTATCTGATGACGGATCCACTAGGCTGTGCTCTTTTCGTGTTTTGCGTTCACAGTGACTAAGAAGTGGATTGATGAGCAGAACGAGTGAGTGTTCCTGATCGAACTTTGGTCGATGACTTTGTCGTCTCATTGTGTAACCACCAGGCTGTGTTCCTCTAGTTCTGTGCCTAAGCCATGCAGCAATGGCTGTCGCTTCATACCAAGCTGTAATACACATTTGCTGGCCATTATAACTTTTATTCGTGAGATCTTAATGAGGAAACAAGTATGGAGTGGTATGGTTCGAGCAAAATATGAGAGCCCAAACATAAGAAGTATAGCTATTGGATGTCCAGACAAATACCTACCCACCGAGCTATGCATTTAATGATGCGTTTTAATTAAAAATGATAACTTTGAAAATATTCATTTCGCTTATTTAGTATCCTCACTTGTCCGTTTTGCCCGGAATACTGCTTCGTTTTACCCCAAGCCAGCGCCAAAATGAGGAAAAAACATTGCCTGATATTTAGGAGGATCACACTTTAACATGAAGAGATATCAAACCAGCGTTTTTTAAAAGAGATAGACAATTGATCAGCCTTCAGTATCCACCTGCTTACGACTTTCTGGACAGAATTATGTACTCCCCATATTGAAAAACGTTAAGGTGTCAGCTTTGTCCCTCTTTCCGCTATACATACATGCATATATATATATATATATATATATACATATATATATATATATATATATATATATATATGCATATGCACATATATGTATATATACATACATACATATATATGTATATATATATATATATATATATATATATATATATATATATATATATATATATACAGCGCACTTGTGGTCAAGTCTTAGCTATAAAGGTAATGGCTGGTTTATGTTTTTGCAGCTTAAGTTTTGTCGTGTAGCACTCATATCATGTATGAGATTTTGTAATAGCTGTAACGTCGCGTATAAGTGAGGACTGCGAAAGTCTTCCCTGTGTAAGTAACGAAAAGCACGAGTTTTTGCAGCATACGTATTTGCAGCATACTTTTGTCGTCTAGCATTCATATCGTGTGTGAGTTTTGGCGGTAGAAGTAATGTAGTGTGTGAGCACAAACTCTTTAAGTTTTTTGCAGTACGTGTGATGACGTATAGAAAATTATGAAGCATAACTTCTGTCGTGTAGCACTCATGTCGTGTACAAGTCTTTGCAGTAAAAGTAAGGTCGCGTATAAGTAAAGGCTGTACACGTTTTTGCGATAAAAGTAAAGTCTGGATAAGTTTTGTAGTAGAAGTATTGTCCGTTATACCTGATGTAGCACTTCTGTCGGTAGGAGTTTTTGCCCTGGCACCAATGTCGTGACGCCTGCTGAAATAGCCCTCACACCCTCATTTGGCTTCCTCTTTGATGAAATGCTGGTTTCGCTGGTGCAGGGTGTAACGTAGATCCCGCGCTGGCCATGAATCCACTGAAGGCGATGCCATGACAATGAGCAAGTGTCAGCGACTCGGCAAAAACCTCATTTCCGCGCAAAAGATCGAAGTGTACGAAATGCAAGCATCAAGCTGAGTGGTGAAAGATACGTGTAGGGCTAAAAGTAATCGGAAAACTTCAGTTTAATACTAGAAACCCACTCGATTTAGTACAGCGACTGTCCGGATTCCGTTTCCACCAGAAAGTTGGCAGCTTGTGATTGGAAGCAGTTGTGGTTCTGACAACGCTTGGATGGGCATATTCGTGCATGTGGAATGTTGTGTTTGGTTGTTCGCAGCAGTTGTTAAGTGATTACGTGTGGATCTGGGCAATAAGGAGCTATTTAGGCACATACAATGGGCAGCAGCCGGTAAATTAGGTTCTTGGTCCTGCTCAGTTTTTTAATATGATCCATAAAGACCTTTAACATGCTTTTTCTGCCTTAGCGTATGTCGTGTTGTTAAGTACGTGTTGGATTCCACCTATCAAACATTTTGTTTTTTGTTTCATTGAGTGAAGGGTGAATGCTAATGCTGACCAGTTATTGTGCAGTACTAATAAGCTGCAAAATAATCATCACTATCAATGAATCATTATTACATCACGTACACTGCAGGCACTATGGGCACGCATGTTAATTTTAATTTGAGTGCTGTAATCATGAGCAGTAACTTTATGGTGTAAAATGCAAACCTAATGACAGCAGCCATGTGTGATGGTAACTTGCCTCTCACATTATGTAGTATGCTGGCAGCACAGATCTATAGCAGTGTGTACCCAAGAGTTTTATTGAGCAGATAAAACAGCATATGCTGTGACTCAAAAGTTCTGCAAGTAAATGCTTTAGATAAGGTGGTTTCAACCACCGTAAATTACAGCAGAAATGATCAGGGAGTGTTTTATAACTACTGTGGTTGATAGCAGTGATGTTTGGCACAAAACATGAACTATATCTTTCTGCTGTCATTTCATTATGCAACTTGATACTGACCTTTCATTATCATTCTTTTTCACCATTATTGTGATGTAGGTTTTCTCCAATTTTTTTATAAGCCATGCACAAACAAAATCCTAGAAGGCCCTTGGTATCACTTGTTCATTGCTTCATTGCAAGAAGTAATTTTCCATTGATTGTCTCAGAAATGGTCACTGGATGAAAAATAACAGTACAGTTTTTCAGGTCTTGGAATTCTCATTGTGTGGCATAAGCACATTCCAGTGTCAATATGGACATTGATGAAGTCTTCTCCCATATTGGGGAGTTTGGACCAGCTCAAAAGAAGTATGTGCTGGTGATATCCTTAGCCCAGGTATACATAGCATCAATTAATTTAAATATGGAATTTACAGGTGAGTTATTGTGCATAACAAATGGAAAGGTTGCTGAATCAGTTATTTAAATTTAGCTGATTTGTGCTGTGAATACATTCAGAGATGACATGAATGTATATGCCAGCTTGGTTCTGACCACACTTGAAGCCATGATGTAACTATTGATTTCCTGGAGGCCTCAGTGCATCACATGCCTCACATTGTGTACTTCCTCAGTTTATGTCACTGTGTGAGGACTGGTGACTTAAAATGGTCGTGGGTCACCACCGTCTGTGCAAAAATTAGTGTTTGTGTGTGCCATTCAATGCACTTTCTTTTATAGCCTTTGCTCCTGAGTTTGAGTGCTACCCTAGTGAAGATGGCTCAGCTCCTTTGCTTAATGCATGTCCTGACAATGAAGCAGCCAAGTGTGCCAGATTAGTCTACAACTCAAACTACTCAACTATTGTCACAGAGGTGGGTATGTTGTGTGATGCACACAGCTAAGTTCTGATGTATGGGTCATTAATGAAGCATGGAGCCTGGATTACCACACACATTTTAGCTGGATAATAGTAGTAATCAAATACAGAGGCTCCCAGACAATTGAAAAGTTCACAGGTATTTGACTTCATCTGCATCAATTTCCATTGACTAATTGTTGCCCAGCACCATTCCACTAGATGACAATCTGTGATCTTTCCCTGTTGCAGTGGAACCTGGTGTGTGACCAGGCCTACCGTGCCAAGGGCTGCCAGTCAGCCTTCATGGCTGGCCTGATGGTGGCAGCACCACTAATGGGTCCACTGGCGGACAAGGTGGGCCGCCTGCGCACCATAGCTGCCTGCCTGCTGGTGCTGCTGGCCTGTTTCGGAGGCAGCATGGCCGCACCCACCTTTGATGTGTTCCTGGTACTCAGGTGAGGAACGGTTAGCAGACCAGGCATCCGTCCTCTGGCATCGGTTTGACATCTGCCCGACCGCTCACCACCGTCGTCGTTTCATAGGCCGCTGTCTGAGCACACCCCTGTGCTGTCTCTCCACCACGTGGATCAGGCTTGTTACCACTATGGTCGGAACTCACTGGGACACTGCTGGAGCTAGCCTGCCCATGGGCTGGGGTCGATGCTCGCCAGTGCTGAGGAGCTCATGCATCCCAGTCTGGGACGATCCATGGTTAGTTGCTGGCGTCTGTTGGCCCTTGGTCTTCCGGGTTTGCGGTGGGCGACCCTCGTCTGTCGGCGACCTGCGGGCACATCTGTGACATTTCTGTGTACATACAGCATGGTCTTACCCGCCCACCGTGATCTCCGTCAATCTCTGTGTGCTCCCCTTGGGCTGTGGCTGTTACTTGTGTGTGGTCCACCGGACGTTTTCTTTTTTTCCTCACACGGTCCGCAACGCTGCTCAGGGAAGCTGCCGTAGCTGGTACGCGCGACTCTGCTTGTCAGTGCTTTCCCTCTGGCTCCCTCCATTGTGTTCTGCGGACGGCCTGGCATTGGTGCCCCACCCCCGCCACACTGTCCGCTGGTAACTCTCAAGCTAGCGAGACGTCGGAACGGGCATGCGTTGCCCATCAAGATGGGACTCCAACTGTTCATTTTGTGCAACTGTGATGACGCGCGTTACGATCGTGTCGATTCGTTCTGTTTTGGCGGTAGCTGGATATGCTATCCCTTCGTGGAGGCCTCTGTCATGCACTGGATGGTCGCGTTGCGGGATCGGGATGGCCTGGTTTGGAATAACGAGGCACTTTGCTGAGTTTGAAGACCTTCTGTGAATCGGAATGATCCTGATCTGGAAAAGGAGGTCTATCTATGCATCAGTAGACTCTTCTGCAACAGAAGGTTTTTGAGATTGGGGGGCCTTTGCGGGATCGAAAATATCCCTGTGTTGGTCAGAAGGCCCCAATTCTGAATTGTCAAATTGTCGATGCTTCTTTGCATGGATATGATACATGTAACAATGTATTAAGGAGATATGTATCCCCTTTCCCCCTTGAGTACGATACTTCCCAGAAGGTCCCCCTTGTGAAGGGGCTCCCTGTTGTCCGGGAGGCCCCCTGAAAAGTTCTGCCTCCTATCTCAAAATCCTTGGCGCCGCCCCTCACTCCGACTCACCTGGACATTGACGGGGAAACGAGCCCGCCTTGGCTGACGGCTCAATGAAAATTCGAACTGCATGGTGGCAGGGTCGGCACCAACTCCCCGCACAGTCAAACACAGATGGCGCAATATGACCTTTGAGGCCGACGCACCCTAAATCCCCAATCGTCGTTATCATCGTCAAACACAGATATCCATGCAGCGAGTTATCACTTATCGAGGTCACCTGTAAACGCCAACGGCCATCTTGTTTCTGCTGATGGGAAATTATTTTTGGAGCCAGCTGGAATCGAGGCCTTGAATAATAGGTTGGCAATGTATGTATGTGTGTGTGTGATGGGGGGAGGGAAATATGGAAGAAAGACCATAAGAATAAACCGTAAATGAACTTCTGAGCTCAGATTCGCTCCAGTCTTGTACCATAACGCTGATCGGAAAACCAACTCCATGTATTGTCTGCAAAATTACAGGTGAATTGAGCCACGCGTAAAAGAGATATGTTTGTCATGTTCCCGGCATCTACACAGTCCAGCCGTGGTTTCCTTTGACTGATCTACTTCGTCCGCAATTTCTCGAGTGATCGCAAAACTGTATTTAGTGCACCACGATCGATTTTAAGTTCATAAGGTTCGCGTGATGCTCACGATTTTATTTGGGTGCGGCATAATTGGCTTCAGGTCTCGGGGATAAACGAATGCTAATGGGTAGCTGCAGACTTTGTATGACACGAGACGCCCAATACTGCCGCGCTGGCGCTTAAACGCTATTATCATGCATGGAAACGTTATCCAGCAGGTGCGAACAGGTTCGATTTTTCTTGCCATTTCCTCAGTTACTTTACGTTTTGCAACGAAATTTCAGAGGAGAAACATTCGGAAGAAAACAGCGTAAAACGCTTGTTCAGGCTGAAAGCCAAAGTAACGCCTTCACTTCAGGCTATTTGACGGTAATGCCGAGGCTAGTAATACAACTCAGGCCATAAATTTTAACAGATTTTAACATGGTCAGACGAAAATGGTAGCAAGCTTGCCCCCCTCCCGCCACAGTCACCTTTCTACAAATGTTCATCATAAGGATGAATATGTTTTTAAGGAATGGGGTTAATTAGTTTTGTTTAGTTCCGTGAAAAGGTTTGTCTGGTCTTCTCTTCCTTCATTTTCATTTTGATTTTAGATGTTTGCACGCCTTGCAGCTCTGAATTGTTTTAATATCATGCTGGCAACGTATTATTTTGTTCGCCAACAGTGAGCTCTTAGCAGCCCCCCCCCTCTCCCCACTGCAGAAAATAGAACGATAAGAAAGGATGAGGAGGCATTGAATATTTTCCTGTTCTGCAAAGAACCGTTGCGCGTGTACAGCTGGACATTAGCTGAAGAAACCACTAGGAGGGCTGGTTCGACGATACATTACCAAATCCTTTGACCTAGCAAGCAATCACCTGCCGCTATTGGATTGCCATTGTGATTTGGACGGAAAATCTGTGGTTGCATGCGCCACGCCATTAAATTGCTTCCTTAAAAAAATTCTATGAAATTACCGCCACACTTTTAACACAGAACATCGCAAGGCAGAGCAGTAAATGCTGTTCTATCGGAGTATGTTTTATTGACCTGAAAGTACACTCGAACATGGCTGTTTTCATCCACCCAGGCGAAATATTCGGTTCATGGTATTTATTTTCATTTTGATCAGAATGTGTTCTTGGGGGCAGGGGTAATGTCTGTCACATCGGGGACATTACTTCCCCCCTCCCCCTCCCCCCCCCCCCCCCCCACCCTCCGCCCTTTCCCAGTTGACATGTCATCCGAGGCCCTTGTTGCTCTGGTGAAATTAACGTGTCCTGAATTCCAGCCATCATTTGGGCCTGACATGGTCAACAAATCGAGAAATGCGCGTGCGCTGGCCTAACATATTTTTGTTTGTGCACAGCTTCCTGCTAAGTCTGGATCGCAGCCATGAGAAGTGTGAGATGGGATTTGTATTGAAACATCCAGAGGTGGTAGCGTCCAATGGTCAAAACGTCCAAAACTGCAGCACGTGCTTATAACATCAAAACGTCCCATGTCCGTGGACTGGACAAAATCATAACATTCAAGCTTGCAGCATCCAAAAATGCAACATCCAAAGTTCATAACGTCCAGTGTTCATGACGTCCAAAGGTTGAAGAACTACAGTGTCGATTAAAGCGTATCAACTGGACATCGTAATCGCTAGATGTTTTCAGCATTGGATGATGTGACTTTGGACGCTGCGAGCTCGTATGCTATGAGCCCCTCCCATAGGCCGGCATTGGACGCATTTTGTATGTTATGAACGCTGGATGTTGCGATTTTGGATGATAATAGAAGCACTGGACGCTGCTATCTTAGACGTTGTGATGGTTCCCCGTAAGGTGCTTGTTCTTGTCCGTATTGTTTTCTGCCCTTGCACACGGTGTGATATGCATTCTGGGTGCTGTAGGTAGTATAGTGTTTGTTCTGTATGCTTGTATTACTTATAGCCATTGCGTCACCAAAGCCTGACTGCACTGCTCCAGGTTTGGAGATAAGACCCTTGTCTTGTCGCATGTTTGTCTGTGCAGTCGAAAGTGTCTGCCGGTGAATATTCCATTGAACGAATCCGGTGTCGACATGCTTTGAAAGGCCCGCACGTTCTTGCGTTATGCATCAAAAGAACGCATTTTTACTTACGTTGTGCACCGAAAGCATGCGTATTTACTTACATGGTGTTTTGTAAATATGTGTGTTTACTGATGTTTTGCATGAAGTAGGCGTATTTTTATGTTATGTATCGGAAAAACTACCAACGTTAGTTCGAGAGCATGGAATGCGCGGTCTGTGACCGTTCGCACTCATTCCCAGTATCCCGTTGAAGCCAGATGATCTGTCTCTGTATATATCTGTATCTGTATATATATATATATATATATATATATATATATATATATATATATATATATATATATAGGGTCGGGGAACACTTTCCTCTTAAGTTATTTTGATTTTGTCTATTTGAATAATAAAGCCATTGCTTAAATTGCAGGTTGCCCGCCAATACGTATTATCTCTATCATAGTCCTTGTTTTGTTACTTGAGTTCAGTGTTCTCGCTTTCTATACATTTATTTTATCGACATCTTAATCTAGCATTATCCCGTATCTCGCCGTCGGGTTTCCCATGTTTGTATAACCCTTTCGAATAGTTCCCGCGCGTTTTCAGTCTCGCCGGTTGACCCGCGGATTACCCACTGATTTCACTCGTTCCTGATGCAGTCGCGTGCTCCCCAACGGTTTGTTCCTGTATTCTAACCTGCCCATCACCCCGCGCCAGACCTTTCTTTCCTCACCCTGCGGGTTTGCTGCAGACTGCCTGCGTCTCTTCGTCTGCCTTCAAATGAACCCCTTCAAATTCAAACCATCCGCTGGCCCGCGCTTCACTGCCAGGTTCCTGTCACGCCCTCCATGAGCTGGTCGCTCCGGGCCGCGCCCGCCCCCTGCCACCCTGCCCCGTCCGACTCGACCCGACTGCTCGCTGACCGCCGGCGGCCGCCCCGCGACAGGTTCGTCTCCGGCTCTGTCACCATCGGCATGATCTTGTCCACGTTCGTGCTGGCCTCGGAGGTGGTGGGCGCCTCCCAGCGCGCCTTCTGCGGCAATCTGATGAGCGTCATGTTCGCGCTGGGCATCCCCGTCCTGTCGGCGGCGGCTAGCCTCATCCACAGCTGGCGCCACCTCTACTTGCTCTTCACGCTGTTCGGCTGCGCGTACTTCAGCGCTTACTTGTGAGTGTCTGTCCAGCGGTAGGCCTGCCCGGAAGGAATGCTCAGATGCCGCAGATGTCGATGTTGCGGCAGCCCGCTTGGATGCTGGGCGTGTAGGCGCAGGGCGTGAATTTTTCAACCTGATCTGTGTTAGTCGCCGTGCACTGGTGTGTTTGTACCAGCTATCTTGCGCCATGGCATGATAACAGATGTCATGATTTATGGAATGTCGTAATGATCGTTGTGTTTTGTATGACTGTAATGCACACACACATTGTGGATGGGATTCGGTGCAGTTCACAAAGGTTTTTATGTACGTTGCGTCCAGTGATCATGGCGATTACCGGTGGTCTTTTGATGGATCCTTGCCCGACCCAGCTACCTGCTGGAGAGTCCCACTGGCTGACACTGATCCTCCCTGACCCAGCTACCTGCCGGAGAGTCCGCGCTGGCTGACACTGATCCTCCCTGACCCAGCTACCTGCTTGAGAGTCCCACTGGCTGGCACTGATCCTCCCTGACTCCCTGACCCAGCTACCTGCCGTAGAGTCCCGCTTGCTGACGCTGGCCCTCTCTTAACCCAGCTGCCTGCTGGAGGGTCCCACTGGCTGACACTGATCCTCCCTGACCCAGGTACCTGCTGGAGAGCCCCACGGGCTGACACTGACACTCCCTTGACCCAGCTACCTGCCGCAGAGTCCTGCTGGCTGACACTGACCCTCCCTGACCCAGCTACCTGCCGGAGAGTCCGCGCTGGCTGCTGCTGAAGGGTCGGGAGGAGGCGGCGCTGCGCGTGCTGCAGCGCATCGCCCGGTGTAACGGCACCACGCTGCCGGCCGGGCTTAAGCTGCGCTCGGCCGCGCCACGCGCTGCACCTGTCGCCGAAGGCGTTTGCTCCCTTTTCAAGTACCGCAAAGTGGCTGTCTGGACGCTGGTCATGATGTTCTCGTGGTGAGTGCCCTACCGTTGATGCTCTGGCGAGCTTGGTCGTGGCGGTTTTGTTCGTGTTGTTTTGGTTTTGGTGGATATTCTCCGCCTCTAGATGAGAGCAGGATTCGCAGGAGCTCATCGAGCAGTCTGTAGTGGCAAAAGCTTTAGAGAACCACTAGGATGTATGATCTTGTAGCGTGCGATACTCACTAACCGCCTTCCGTGCGGGCTTCAGGTTCACCAACAACCTGTGTTACTACGGCCTGACGTCGGCTTCGGCCACCATGGGCAGCGACCGCTTCACGTCAGTGGCGCTGAGCGGCCTCATCGAGCTGCCGGCCTACGCCATCGTGATGCTGGTGCTGAACAGGTGGGCGCGCCAGCCCGCTCCGGGCAGCCGAGGCACGTCGACAGCCCGCTTCTGTGGTCGGGCGGCAGGCGGGAGTCTGTCAGCAGACGGACAGGACCGTCCGCAGCCTGTCGGTGTGTGCGCGTCCGCGTGCGGCCGGAGGGGGGGGGGGGGGGGTCGGCCGTGCGATGTGTGGCACCTGACCTCCCGGTATCGTGACTTGTCCTGCTGCGGGACGCGTGCCAGGGGCTCTTGTGGGCCCGGCCTGATGTGCCTCCTCGTCCTCCCTCCGCAAGCTGAACTTGTTGGTGTTGACCCGTGTAGATCTGAACTGACCCGTAGCGCGCCGCCGAGGGACACAGCCGTCTGTGCTGACCTTCGTTGCCCGGTCATTCCCCTGCCTCGCCCGGAGTAGCGGTTGGCTGATCCGTGCTGGCCGAATAACGGCAACATGTTGAGCGGCGGTGTACGCTGTGCTGAGCGCCGGCCGGTGTGCGCAGGGTCGGTCGCCGCACGCCCCTCTGTGGCTTCATGCTGCTAGGCGGCGGCTGCTGTCTGGGCATCATGGGCCTGCCGCACGGCGACGCCAGGCTCGCCCAGCTGCGCATGCTGCTCGGCCTGATCGGTGAGGGGCCAGCAGAGCGGTCACCACCAACCGGAAGGGCCACACGCGCCAGGGGCACAGACCACGTGCAGTTCTCACATGTTGTATCTTTTGGTTATGAAAGCAGAGCATGGCATCGCCGTGAATATTGCGTTGGCATAAGATGTACATGCCAGATGAGTGGCATGTACATCATGCCACATTATCACATTATCAAATCTGGAGAGGTAAGCGGGTCTATATCAGGTCTTTGATGGGGAGGTTGGCCATCTGTCTTGGTCTACCCAGCTGTCTTAAATGTTGACAGGACCAGCTTACTATACTATCTTGCATCATCTGCATCAGCTGTCCCCTCCCCCTCCCCCTCCTTTTCGTTTGGTGAATTTCTGAAATGAGCTTGTGTTAGGCAGTACTTGTTGCCCGAGCACTGGTCCCACCAATCGACCATGAAGTGGGCCCTGGTCCCTCCATCTGATTATGAAGTGAGCCCTTACCCTTTCATCTGACTGCGAAGTTCTCGATCAACGACAGAATTTTGGGGGCAAAAGTTTAACAAGTCGTAATGCTGGGAGCGGTCTGCTCAGCCACGCCCAACCCTCGGACGTCACCGGACCTCAGCGCGGTCGCTGCTGCCACGGGCCGCGGGCCATCTTATTCTGGGGAAAATACTGAGCTCTTAAAGGGACTGGAGCCCATCACACCACGGATGGGTGAATACAACGTACAGGCGCTGTAACCAACTCAGCTGCCGGACCCACTCAGTCACAAAGATACCAACCATCATGAATCAGCTGTTTTGCGATCCATCCTGTTGAAAAAAATGCTCTTTTGGTTAAAAGTAGAAGGAACGTTTCACGTGTTTACGTGTATGTTTTGTGTCGCACGCTTGCGTTGCGTAATACCACACCAATATTGGTATTTTTGGTGATGACTAACCAGGCAGACGAGTCATCACTGAGCAGCCCGTACAGTTGCACTGTCCGCCGTCTAGATCAGAGCAGTGTGAGCACCGACTGATGGGTTCTTCGGTCTCTGCCTGCAGGCAAGCTGTGTGCGGCGGCAAGCTTCTCCGTGATCTTCATCCACTCGGGCGAAATCTTCCCCACGTCTATCCGAAACACCGGCTTCGGTTTGGTCAACGTGTTTGCCCGCATTGGCGGCATCGTCTACCCGTTCATGGCCCTTCTGGTGGGTATACCCCGTCGTTGGCGTTTTCTGAGCTGTGACGAGGCCTTACGCCGTCCGACAGCTGATGGCTTTGCCGGAACTCAGTCGGGTTTTCAGTACTCGTCGGGCGAATGGTATAGGCACAGTTGCAGGATGGTGACTAGTGGAGGGCGTTTGTGATTAGTCAGCTGTTAACTAGAAACTCTTGTGTTGGTGTTTGCCCGCGCGTAAGAATGACTTGGTCGAGCCGCCTCCGGTCATGCGTCGTGGACAAGATCCAAATGGGCGGCACGGCTGCCTCTGGTCGTGCCGATGCGTGACCCCCAGGCGGCACCGGGTGCGGCGCTCAGACCTGACCCTGTGCCGGTGGTCGGTCTGGTGACTCCCACGCCGTCCGCCGCCCGCAGAACGACGTGATGGCCGACCTGCACTTCGCGGTGTTCGGTGCGCTGGCGGTCGGCTCAGGCCTGCTGAACCTGATGCTGCCGGAGACGCTGGGCCGCCCGCTGCCGGAGACGGTGGAGGAGCTGGCCGGCCAGACCGGCTCCGAGATGTACTCGCCGCTACGCCAGCTCGCCGACGACGAGGACGGCCACGAACCGGCGGCGCACGGCGGCCGGCGGCGCGTCGTCAAGGCCGTGTGACGGGCTAGGGAGGCCTGTGAGGCCGGCCCCCGGGTGACGACGAGGCTCGCCCCGCCGACCGAAGAGTCGGCCGGTCGGAGTGGCGGCTGAGGAACCAAAGATCCCCTCCCCGACGGAGCGCGAAGGATCTTTGACGAGGGTCCAGCGATCAGCCTGATAGCTAAGCATTGGGGGTCTGTGTTGGAGGTCGATGTTCTCCCCGATCGAGAAGTAAGCACGTTTGGCGAAGAGTCTCCTATCCAACTGACATCGAAATGGGCCCACTTTCGGGGCCATTACTTGATGATGGTTCGTGGCTCATATATGAGCGTGTTTCTTTGGGAAGTTTTGCTGCGTGACGGATGCTAGATGTGCGGTGTTTATAGGTCAAGGCCGTTCTCCAAGGGGACCAACCATTTGCTGAGCTTCGTTTGCCGTCTGGCGGGGATTGATCAGCCAGACAAGTCGGGGAAGACGTGAAACCGAATCAGTGATCATATGTGCGGTGGAATCCCAAAACTGGCTCCTTCCGTGTGTAGTGGCGTCCAATCCTAACTCTTGGCGTTGATCGACGAGCATGCTGTAGGTTGCATGGACAGGATAGAATAATGATCATTGCATCCATGACACATCAATAACGGACTGGGTCTGGAGCTGCTGGATACTGGAAATAAAGGGATCGCCGTGATGAGCTAGGGTGGACAATAATCGTAACGAGCGTGACGGGTAATGATAGCAAAGTATTTCCACGAAAGGACCAATGTAGAATCTAGGTGCCTGAGGCATGCGAGTATTTTTAGATATGCTAGATGAAACGTTGTCCTTATTGTGAGTTCTTGCCTTTGGCTGTGAGCGTAGTTATTAGTATAAATTACCGCAAGAACTTATCCTTGCAGTGCTTTACAGCTATTTGATGATAGTTCATTGCCGTATTATATCGTGTGAGTGGCTCGCTCTGGCTTGAAACAAGGGGATAAACTGCTAGCGTCCACGTGAGGCTCCTCAGATTCCTCATGCGCGTCGGATTAGATGCAGAGTAACTTTCCGTTCATTTCTTGACCTGACGTCGGCAACTTATGTTCCTTCCCTGAGCCGTGGCGGGGAGGTCAGCCTGGTTGGTCGATCTGTTCCACTTGGCGTCTGCTTACCGGTCAGCGGTGCGGAGTATCGATCATGTGCTGACTTCTCTGCTGCTGTTTGAACCTCTGAATTGCCGACACGAGAACTCCCGCAGCGAAAGTGTGTGAACATCACACGTATGTTCGTGACGTGATGTGTGAAATCAAAATACGTCAGTGCGACAGCGTTTATCCGCTGGGTGCACGAATATCTGAGCTGGACTGGACACCGATGGTGGTGTGATTGGATGTCAGCAGCTTTCGTAATTGGAAAAGCTTATATTCCAGTGGCTGGGCACCGCTCTTCCAACGCTGCTTCATAGTGCTTGCGGTAATTTAAGCTATGTTTGGGTGCATGGTTTCCCTCCCACTGTGGTCGTGTTCACGAGCTAACTATTTTTGGGTGCATTGCTTTCCATTGTGTTCGTTCTCGTGTGCTGAGTTAGCCATGGAGTGTATGCGGGCTTGTGGACAGCCGAGCAGCCGTTTTACATATTGTTTGCGTGGTGGAGGTATTGCGGACGTCGGGGTGTCCTTATAGGCCTGCTCTTGCTGCATCTCCATCCCCTGACTACCCGGACGGCTGCTAATGTATCGACACCGTCACCCGTGCGATGCCGTATCGTTGTAATCTTGTAGCAAGTGCCTTGCTGGTTCCAGGCTGCGCTGCAACATTTTGTGAAACTGCTTTGCCCTGCAGTAACAACGAGCAATTGGCATATGGCTGTTACCACGCATAAATCGAGGGGCGGGATCACTGGACATTACGTCTGTGTTGCGCCGTGAGGTCTTCTTCCGTCCGTGGACTGGGCTGATTGTGTGCAGCGCTGCCTTCCGAGGGTGGCTGACGCGGACGCCACGTGTTCCGCCGGACCGCGCGCTGTGCCGTGCTGGCTCTCCAGGGGCTCCGATCGCGTGCGGTGGAGGCGCCCCTCCGATCCTGCAATAAACGGGCCGTCCGGCCGCGCAGCACGGCGTGTTTGGCGAGCGTCGGGCCGGCGGCGGACGACGGGCCCGGTCTGACCGGCTGGCGGGTCGGGTCGGCCGGACCGGTGCTGGCGGGTCGGGTCGGCCAGGCCGGTGCTGTTGGGTCGGGTCGGCCGGACCGGTGCTGTTGGCTCGGGTCGGCCGGACCGGTGCTGTTAGCTCGGGTCGGCCGGACCGGCGCAGTGGGGCCCGACTGGCAGTGCTGGTGTGGCTCCCGGTTCGGCATGTACTACGCGCTGGTAATCATGACGCTGCTGGTGAGTGCCCCTTCTCTCCCTCCACGCGCCTGTTGGGAGGGGAGGAGGGTAGGCTGACGCTGCCAGGGAGTAGCAGGGAGCAGAGTGGGACCCCATCCTGCGAGCGCACGGCCCGGGAGCTGCCTTTACCTCGTGATGTGTTAAAGTGCTCGTGGTATAGCATGCTGACGCAACTGGGTTCAGTTGGCTTATGAATCGTTTGTGTCTCCGCGTAACGAGATTGCGTCCTGTCAGCCATTTGGAACACACTCCAACTCCTGTTGAAATGGGTTTCACATTTCCGAATTGGCTTTATTTGAAAGCACGACCTGGACTGAGCACAGGTAACTCCCTGCGCTCTTTCCATCGCCCGGAGTTGTTGCGCTCTTCGCCGCTGCCCCCGTGACCTGACCGCGCTGCATGCCGTCGCTGCGACTGGGCTGCGCCGTTTGCTGCCGTTCCCTTGATATGACTGCGCGCTCTTCAGCAGCGGTGTTCCCGTCACGTGACGGCGCGCTCCAATGCCGCAGGCGGGGCCGGCACGCGGCCAGACGCTGTCAGAGCGCATCCTGTCGCTGTTCTTCCGGCACACGTGCGAGGATCTGCGCCACTCGCTGTTCGAAGTGAACGCGCTCAGTGACTGCTCCGAGGAGCTCGGTTGTCCGCTGAACCAGCACTGCGAGCCGTTCACCTGCCACGGACTGTTTGTGCACAGGTGAGCCGGCTCCCCGCCGCTCGCCGCTGCCGTGCACAGCACGTTAGTGCGTGGACACGATCGTGAAATGCGCACGGTATGTGGACGCGAAAACGCGTCCACGGGCCACGCAAGGCCCGTGCAATGCGGCAAGAAAGTGGAAGGCCTTTTGAGTACTTCAGCGGCTGGGTCGTTGTTATGTTTTGTTGGCCGGGCGAGGTTAATGGATTTGAATGGACAGATGAGAGGTGTCGAGAGTTTCCCCGATGCTAAAGACGTTTTTGGCCTGTGTACGACACTACAGAGAACAGGCGCATTCTTGGCCCAGCGCTCAGTCTGCCTCACCTCATCACCCATCCCCCACCCCTCATTCTAAGGGTCAGGAAACCCCTCCCGACTGTGAGTCTGTGTGCCCGCGCTGACAGTGTCTTCCGCCGTCCAAGGTGCGTCGCCAACTTCGCCGAGCATGCCGCCTGCCAGCGTGGCTCCCAGTGCAGCTCGAACTTCTGCCACCCGACCAGCTCTACGTGCGAGGCGCGCGAGGGCGCCTGCCCGGAGGACATGCTGAACGCGGGCGGCACCTGCCTCGGCCTCTCGCCGTTCCGCGCCGCCTCCTGGTCGGACGCGCTCGCCGCGTGCCCGGCGCTGTTCGGCGCCGGCGCCGCGCTCGTCTCGCCGCAGTCGCGCGCCGAGCAGCAGAACCTGCAGACGTTCTTGGTGCTGCGCCGCGCCGCCGCCGAACAGCCGTACATCGGCGTCTCGGACACGCAGACCGAGGGCGTGTTCCGCTTGGACGCGGACGGCTCGCGCATCGACGACGGCTTCAGCGCCTTCGCGGCGACCGAGCTGGCGCGGAACGACGAGTGGCTGAGCTGCGCCACGCAGCGGCCGGTGAGCCTGCAGCCTAGCGAGAACGGCTGGGCGCTGAGCCGGTGCGACGCCAGCCGACGCTTCGTGTGCCAGGCGGACCCGGCGTTCGGCGCCTGAGGCGGTCGCGGCGAGCGAGGCCGGGCCGGGCGCGGCGGAGGAGAGGGCTGCAGGAGCGGAGGCCGGACTGGGCACGGCGGAGGAGAGGGCTGCAGGAGCGGAGGCCGGACCGAGCACGGCGGAGAGGGCTGCAGGAGCGGAGGCCGGGCCTGGCGCGGCGGAGGAGAGGGCTGCAGGAGTGGAGGTCGGACTGGGCGCGGCGGAGAGGGCTGCAGGAGCGGAGGCCGGGCCTGGCGCGGCGGAGGAGAGGGCTGCAGGAGTGGAGGTCGGACTGGGCGCGGCGGAGGAGAGGGCTGCAGGAGCGGAGGTCGGACTGGGCGCGGCGGAGAGGAGAGCTGCAGGAGCGGAGGCCGGACCGAGCGCGGCGGAGAGGGCTGCAGGAGCGGAGGTCGGACTGGGCGCGGCGGAGGAGGGGGCTGCGGGAGCGGAGGCCGGACTGAGCGCGGCGGAGGAGAAGGCTGTAGGGGCGAGTCCGGAGTGCTGCGCGAGACGGGCTGGCTCGGCGACAGGCTACGCTGGCGAAGCGCAGGGCAGAGCTGGCACGGAGGGAATGAGAAGTTTCTGTGGAGACAAGCGGCGAGGCTAGGGATGGAGCTGTGAGGGTCGCGGTATCTGTTAACCTCCACAGTAAACAGTGGCCCTCAGGAAAGCGTGGACAGCGTTCACTGTGCTTGACATGAAGAGTCAGAACGCCGCCATGAACAAAGTGATATGTCACTTTGCAGCTTTCAGTTCTCTGGAATGCTGCTGGCTCCGTTTCGCCAATAATGACACTGTCACGTACATGTCTTAACAGTGGGCTGCGGCGTCTACCTCTCAATCTAACATGTGTCGCAAGTTCCAACTCCCGAGGCAACTAGTTCCGTTGCAGCTTCAGAGATGACAGCCGCCAACGTTTTGATCGCTGGCGGGATGTCGCTGGTCGGTGGCTGGCGCGGTCTGGGGACAGAGTCGTACGCATGGCCTTGTGCGCATGTGCATGTGCGTACCTGACTCGTTCATTGGGATGTGCGCCACGTTGAAGGTTTATACCATTTCACTGATATTGTTATTCGTGCGTCGAAGGCAACACGGCTTAGTTTATTCGTAGGGCAGAGGTGAATGCACTGTATTTGATGTTTTGTTCTGTTCCTGTGGTATGTGACATGTCGAAATGTGTATTTACCAAAACTAACTTAACGAGCACATCTCTCCATAGACGTCGGGCTATATTCAGACCTTTAGCTGACTCTGCACCGAGTCCGAATCGACCAAAGAACCAACGAAATTCGGACTGAAAAGGCATAATTAATTGCTTTATTTGAATGACTCAGAGCATAAATGAACCACAGGTTGCATAATATTCGCCGCTTATCACGCCCTTAACGACAGACTGCGTGTGACAGAGCACGGCGTAACAAAGCGAAGATTCCCCGCGCAAGGAATCAGGCCCCACGCGGGGAGTATGTATGCGGAAAATAGAACGCGACAAATATCGTGAGCTGGGGTTCTTAGTGTGGCAATAGTCTAGCTTACCTGTGGTACCGCCATTGCACCGTCAAGTGAGCGGCGGCTGTGACAAATTTCGTTTCAAGCCGCGTCTGTGATCACTTGAGCCCACGGTATATATATATATATATATATATATATATATATATATATATATATATATATATATATATATGTCAGTGATCGCCAGGAATGCGGCCAGCCGCCTTCGACAACGGTTTGATACAAATTACTGTGATTTAAGCCGGTAGTGAGTGGGTCGTGAAAACGACAAAGGTGATTATCATCATTATCGCATCATGGTCACAGGTTTAAAGCAACTTTCCCGTGCATTTGTCCAACCTGTTGGCATCGGTCGTGAAAGACGTGTGACTACAGTATCTTCATTATCAGTATCATCTGCATGGCGATAAGCAGTTGTGACATGTTCTGTCTCCGCGCTCGTCCCACAACGCCCAAGAGATCTTACTGGTACAGGCATATGTGCAAATCACAACCCTAAGAATGCGTGTAATGTCCGTGAAATCGGTTGGGAACGAGGGTGTCGCGGACTGCAGACCCCTATTCTAAAAACACTTTACAGACCGTTATTCAACCGTGGCGGCGTGCTACCCATTTTAAGTCAGCGGCATTTGGTGGGCCAACATTTCAGGTCGGCAATGGATTGCGTTTGGCTAAGAATAAAAACCCTGGATAAGCACCCTACGGCTTTCATATTGTCACTGTTGTCAAAGCTGCCAACGCCTGCACGGATCAGCTGCCCACCCTGCTAGCTCACTAGACCTCACATCTCGAGTCGATTTTGGTGTTACCAGCGCCCACGGCGTCGCTGGGTGTCGTTTGAGGCGCCCTGGCAGCCCGCTCCGACCGCGATCCCTTACCGGTGACGTCACCTGACAAAGCCCCGATCGCTGCCGGTGGGGGCCGGACCGCAGCGCCGATGTCCGGTCCCAGCCGCCGGATGGCAGGACCCGCCGGTCAGACCGGTTCCCGCTCGACGTTAGCAGGCCGCCGGGCGACCCAGCTCAGCGGATCCTTACCCCAGCGGAGCCTCATCCCAGTGGAGCCTCACCCTAGCGACGCCTCACCCCAGCGGCGCCTCCCCCCAGCGGCGCCTCACCCCAACGGAGCTTCACCCCAGCGGCGCCTCACACCAGCGGCGCCCCTCCCCAGTGGAGTATCACCCCAGAGGCACCCCACCCCAGCGGCGCCTCCCCCCAGCGGCGCCTCATCGACGCCGCACACTGCAATGTGCTGGGCTGCGCTGTAGCGCGTCTGGCCAACTCGCTACATCGAAATTAAGGGACAAGAGCCGGCCGCTGATGAATCACATTACTAGACCGGTGGCGTAATGGATGGTGGTGGGCTCTTCCAGTCGTGGCGTGATCTCAGCGTGGTTGTATCCCGCTCGCGGGTGGGGGGGTTCTTGTGCAGCTAGACCACGTGACCTGGTGCTGGATATCCGGTGAAAGCGGAGAGTCTACGCGTCACCGACTGATGACCAGATGACCCAGCCGTTGGGGGCCGCGTTAAGCGCCTAGCTCGGGCTAGGTTACAGCTTTAGAGATCGATCCGGTCTCCACAAAATCCCGACTTTCTCTGCGGACTCACCTGTGCGCTTTCTTGGGGAGAAGAGGCATGTGTACGGCATACTTACATGGAGATTGCTTTGTGTATGACGCAGACATCTATATCCGGCTTAAGCCGCGACTAGCAAGTTTGCGACCACGAAAAAGGTGACACAAAGATGAAGTACTAGAACAGGCAGGTTGAGGCCCGAACCCCTGATCGGCAGAGATATTGTCGCAGCGTTTGCTTCCAAAACACCGATTTCTGACGTCACGAACCGCAGATTTGCTAGAAACGGCATCCTAAATGTACGAACTCTGCGACGGGTCAGGACGGGCGAGGGGTTTGTCAAGGATTAGAGGGTGCTCAGGAACACTGTGAGTCGCTTCTTTTCGTAGCCAGCCGTAAACCTAGTGTTAAATTTTATCTCCGCCGGAGGGCTCGAGTCCACGAAGCCCTCATAACGAGATAGTTCCGGTGCCTATGGGTTGAAGGATGGCGGTACATAATGGCTCTAAACTGCGTTTTATTTACAGCCTTCCTGTCCCTGCAGCATCCATGGCACCACGCTAACGTCCGCAAGGTCGGGAAATAGGTATGGGGCAACACTCCATGTATTTGGGCATTATTTTTGAAGGGAGCACGCCGCACGTTGTCGAGTTTTTCCTTAGAAGAAGTACTCCATTTTTTGTACTTTCCACTATTGCTGCGATAGACGGGTACGATTTGATGAGCAATACCAGTTTCTCGAAATCCTTCCGAATGGCTCTGAATTTCAATCCGAAGTAGCCGATCTTGCGGGAGAAATATCATTTTACTGCTTGCTCACTACTTTGAAAGCAACACATTTCATTTGCCTTGCTTCTTCCAACGTGTGTGTTGTGTAATTTTTGCACCAACTCATGTGTCAAAATGTTTGCGTGGTAAATGCGGCGAAAGCTTGAACCATTCTTTGGACAATAACATATGTAACCATTAAGTCATTATCCCGCGAATTCAACGAAAGGTTATACTATGGCTATGATTGCTCCCCTATGTGTTCACCACAATGGCTTTTTTTCGAGACACATTGTGGCTTGGGGAATGGCAGTGTCACATGGTCTATGTGACACACTGGTTCAAACGTCAACCAATGCACTTCTCGGTCACAGGGCTTGTCTGCTGGGCCAGCCACTTTTGTATTCGCACCAACAGAGGTGTGCACGGTGGTTGCCATGGCGATGGTGGTCGCGACTGTGGGAAAGAAGCGTGGCTCTGCACAATGCGTCGACAGCGTAATTTGGACTGGAAAATAATGAACATTAATATCCTTGTCATGTCTTGCGGTGCTGCAGTGGTACTACTCAGTGTTATCATTAGACGCAACTATTCCTGAGGTTTCACCGGAGAGTGTTTTTGAAATATGCCCCAAAGGTGGGCCACGGCCTTTACAGGACATGCTCGGCATTGACCAAGCATGATATATGATGAAATAAGCGCACCGATAAATGTTAGCACATTTTTTAAGTAGAAAAGATTGCTCTAGACAACACAGCTTCTCTGTTAAGTAGATATGTTCCTCAATGCATCCTTGTTTGAATATGTACGTCATCGTACCTTGTACAACATTGATTGAGAGCTAATCGGCGGCCGTTACATCCGGAAATCATGCTCACGAACGCCAGATATGAAGGACTCGACAATATATTTTCATAGGCCTTGATCGCCGCATGGCCAACGGAATGGCAGGGTTTAAATGTCGCCATTATGGCGTTGTGGTTGCTTGGTAACGTTGACATAGTCTACCGGAAATAGTCCGCATATCTCCGCGGGCGTGTAAATAAAAAATAAACAGGTTTAGGTCTTCAGAATGACAGGGCTGGGAATTGCACAGAATGATCTTCAACATGGCTATCCCAGTTCAAAATACAAGTGTGGAACACTCCCTTAAAGCACGTAGCCAGGCGGGCATACTGGGTGTCTGTGCATCCTCTGGGATTCGCAGTGCCCCCCCCCCCCCCCCCTCAGCCTCGTTCAGTGCGTTCTGGTATGGTTCAGTGCGTCCTATCACAGGGGTTTCACGAAGACTGGATGAAATCCTTCCTTGTTTTGCGATCTGTAATGTCCGTATCATTAAAGTGTTGTAGTCAGCATTTGGTTCCTGCCAAGTGTGTTCCAAATCTTAAACCCTGTATCATTTCTCCCAGCTGCGTTTTGAGGGTTTACCTTAGTTTTTGTGTTCGCAGTTTTTCTTTTCACAGAAGGTTTATAAGGATTAGTATGATATAATGATGGTCCATAGGGTTTATAAGGTTATAAGTGCTAGAATTTCCATGGCGACCAGGGAATATTCGAACGATGGTAGTAATCGCATATTCAGCGCTATTCCCCACGACATTTCTTAAAAACGGAACTATTCCGGTTACATTTTTTACGCACCCCAGTGTCGAGCGTGCGAATGAGTTAATTCAACATGTTCTAAACTCTATCAAATGTCGCTGCGACCGTGCAGTCTAACAGGTTTTCCCTGCAAAACCAGCTGCGGCAATATTTTGCCCCAAGCGTTGTCACATTGTCCCTCCAGACCCTCAAAGACCAGCGGCCCAAATGATACCGTTTTCCCGTATTTCAAATATGTCTGGTTCACGAAACATGGTACACAGCCCTGTAAGACAGACCGTCATCTGAAGCTCCAGTCGAATGCTGGAGACCTTCGACAGCGTATCTTATGCTGACTTGACATCATGACTGGATGTCATGGTGTAATTAGGTGCTGATCAGTGCACCCTTGCGATCCTTTTTACTGCAACGATTTAATAAATCTTGGATTGCTTTGCATTTTCTTTGATGATAGGTCTATCTCAAATATCTTATCAAGAGGCTCTCCACAACAGCGCCCTTCTGGCCGTTACCGTCACCCTTCGGATATCGTCATTGGACAATCCGACGGTTGACTTGGTACGAGTCAAGCACACGTTGGTACAACGACATCAAAAATTGTTGTCAACGGGTCTGTCAACTGGTAGCTCGAAATCACATCGTTCCACTGCGCTCTCCTCCCCACCGGCGCCTGTGCCCAGTGCCAGCTGGGGGCTCAATTGTCTGCATCAGGCCGCCGACGGGCCCGGTCCTGTATGACGTCATATGTCATGAGACAATCAGGCCTGCCTCATATCACGCCGTCGCCGGACCCGGCCAAGGCTCAAGGCCACTGATAAACATAGTCTGTGTTAATCCCGGCGTTGTTTGAGGCTGTCTTTAAACAAGGGTTCACATCCTAGGCCGCTTAAACGCACATTTTATCCCCTCCCTTTACTTTTTAACAATGGATTTCAGGGTGACTCAAAACGTTCCTGAGCCTAACGATACACTGTCAACCGCGCCCTTTCCTTGATACGCTTCGGATTCGGTTCATCAGAAGCCCCTTCTCTCCCCCATGCGTAACGTAATTTATGAACGGTCTCTGTTCGCTTGTGTGATACATGATGGCATAGGTTGACGCTGTAATCAGGAGAACTAGGTGGGAACGAGCGGCTCAAAGTGCAGACAGATCTGACCACGAGGCTAACAATCTGCGGGCGTGCAAGAGACGACGCTCACTGGAAGCTGGGACCAGGAGTGGTGCTGACAGCACGACGCCGCGAGTGAAGATAACACCAACGAGAAGCTCGTGACAACTTCCATCGAAAGGTAAGGGGACTGTCCGTAGATCATGGAGAGGCTGGCATGTGTCATGATGCGTCCGAGAATCTCCCAGCGTCTTTCACATGCGTTCGGGTTCGGGTGATTTTACCCGCCCCCCCCCCCCCCCCCCACTTGTTCCGGAATAATTTGTGAACGTTGAGAAGTAACCTTGCCAAACTTGGTATAGCTGTGGGAGTGCAGTAGACGATCTTTTAAAGATAAAAGATGGCATCTACCTTGTAAGGTCGCTGACCTAGAGCAGGTCAAAGTCGGGCGATGGTTGTCAGCGAGGAGGATTCTTAGGGAAAAGTTCAATGTGATGCAAGAATGGTGTGCAAGACGAAGTCGTACAACTTTGAGATACTGTCGTAAACAATTGAATAATTGAAATTCGAATTCCGACTTAGTCTGCTGACCTTAGGCGATGTATAAAAGTTATATCCAGGTCCAAACCAAATAACTTTAATGCCGGAAAGCATGCCTTAAGATATATTTGTGACGCTCATTTCGAGCTCCAGGCTCTCAACGACGTCAAATGTCTTCTTACATCGACATCATAAAAGCCAGAGTACGTTACTGACCTCAAATTATCTCGAGCAGCCTTTTGCTTTGGGTAGCATGCTGTCTAGTAGTTGGTGCCGATGACAACTTCAAATAACAGGATAATATCGAAGCTTTTTTGTTCTACTTCCTAAAGGTGACTCAAATACCGGCGTCCAGGCTAAGTCTTAAAGCGCTCACGGCCATCCAGTCATACTGCATTATAATTCTGCACACCACATGGCTTCCAAGAAAGCGGTCCTTACATCACAAATGAGGAATGCAGTGTGTATGCATTTTGAGGCTCAGTCGTCTCAATGTAGACGTGCTTATGTACCCCATCAACGAGAGCGGATACACGGAGCACTGAATAAGGCCTCCCCATTGTATCGCAAGTTCTCGGGTTAACAATTCATCAGGTTAGCAAAGTAGTTGTGGAAAGGTGAAATAAACGGACCGTGTTTGCGTGGAGATACCGTTTATGCATGGTGGCTCAGAGAGAACTTAACTGACGCTTCCCTCAGTTTTCCTTAGCAGTGACCAGCGTATTTCTCGCGCGATGAAGACTGCTGTGAAATTTACTGATCGTGCAATGGCCAAGCATGATAAATAAAAATGGTGGTTGTTTGGTCCGACTGGGATGAAGAGTGGCTCCAGGAGGAAACTTAAATGATAGTACAATGGTCAAGCGTGGTGAAAGCAATGGTGGTTGTGTGGTCCGACTGGGGCGAAGAGGGGCTGCGGGAGTACGGGGCGACAACGCACACGGCACGGACTTCACTGGATTGGTCCACTGGGACGAAGAATGACTTCAGGAGGACGGGGCGACAACGCACACGGCACGGGCCTCACTGGATTGGTCCGAGAACCATTTCGCTGGAATGCGCATCAGCCTAATGCGGCCGTGCCGTGGCTTCTCACTCGCCCGACCTGTCGCCCGACTTCATGCTGTGCCCTTACCTTAACAACCATGCTCATGTTCTTGTGGACAAGTCAACGAGCCTTCAAGGCCACCTTCAAACCCAAGTTGGCGAATTACCGTGGATAATTCATCAGGCAACCTTTAGCGACTCAGATGTTGCGCATCGTGGGCCGGCAGGCGCCCATCTCAAGCACCAACGCATTGAGGGGACTGAGAGTAGCACTAGGGGCTCAAGTCACATTGGGGGCTCAGCCTCCCCCTCCTCCCCCCCCCCCTGCTCCCCCGAAAGTGTGTGAGGTGACGCCCTTGCATGGTGCCTTTGTTGTATTGTCAACGAGGGAGGTTTCAGCCGGATGCTGGTCTGGCCTGGGGCCCATCCAACTGAATGTGATCATACTAACACGTACTTATTGATGGCATTAGCTTTAAAGTTATAAAAAATAAATTAACAACGAGACAAAGTACACATGCCTTCCACGTCTTTGAGCATTCTGTGGAAATGATTTTCATCCCATCTTCTCACCCACGCGGTGACAATAAATGCTGAAGCAGGTTTGGCGTCACTACGAGGTATGCCTTTGTTTATATTTTCGTGTGCAGCATTTTTTTTGCAGTTTTGACATTTATCAATCAGTTTTTTCCAGCTGTTTTGGCCTTGTGATATCAGTGGGGATGTTTCCTGGTCTCTCCCGCGTTTATTTTATTTTTTTTGGCAAACCAGCGTTGCATTATCGGGCAATTATTACCAGCTGAAGTTCGATCCTTGGCGGCTTCCCCAAGTGGTTGTGGACTTTCGCTGGATTTTTCTGGGTCTCTTTTCGGTGATCTTTGTGATTCTAATACTCTGGAAAACTTTGCAACCATTTCGAAAGTTGGTCACTGGAGGCTTTCTATCCTTATGGGGTAGCTGGTAACCGTCGTTTTGGGCATTGGACGCCCCATTTCGATATTTGGCAACATTAATGCGCACCCTCTCATTCAATCTCGCATAGTTGCAAGAAATCTGCACACACAATCAAGCTCTGAGAAACAGACTGATGTCAAGATATATCGATACCAGGCGCACAGGCATAACTCAGTTATACCTGTGTCAACACGGCCAAGCGCGTGCAGCTTTGATTTTTAGTTCCCCCAATGTGTTCATAATTTATAGTTCAAAGCGACTTCATGACGGCTTACCGACTCTTAGCATTCAAGATTGCATATCTATGACGTCCTTTGTTCGTGTCTTACTAATTGGAAATGGCGTGCTCCAGTCGGTGACCAGAAATAAGGCAATCAAGCAGCTCCTGCGTCAGGGTAGGCAATGCCGCTCCGAACACTACCCCAAGTCCGTACCGAATACCGCTCCGACACCGCCAATCCGTACCGCCTCCGACACTACAGCCGTACCACGCCAGTCCGTACCGAATCGCTCGACACTACCCCAAGTCGTACCGCACGCCGCTCCACACTACCCAAGTCCGTACCGAATACCGCTCCGAACACTACGCCAAGTCCGTACCGAATGCCGCTCCGCACACTACGTCAAGTCCGTACCGAATGCCGCTCCGAACACTACGCCAAGTCCGTACCGAATGCCGCTCCGAACACTACGCCAAGTCCGTACCGAATGCCGCTCCGAACACTACGTCAAGTCCGTACCGAACGCTGCTCCGAACACTACGCCAAGTCCGTACCGAATGCCGCTCCGAACACTACGCCAAGTCCGTACCGAATGCGGAATGCTAGCAGGAATTTGTATCGATGCGATTGGAGCACACAGGAATTATTAGATCCCTTGATTGCGGTTCCTTGCAACCTGCTTTCAATCCGGCATGGTTCCACCGAATGCATCACTTCCTTTCTCCAGTTTCAGAACCAACTGCAACGATCTCGTCTGAAGCGTACTGCATTAACACGTAACCGGGTTGCCGGTTCAATAGCACGCGCTCGAGCGGGGGGGGGGGGCGTTTGTCCCCGGTATCTGAGAAACCAAGCGAGATTACGGCATCAAAACCACCGACTGGGTCAACATTTGTGTGGACTACTTGTGTCATAACTTGAGGTTCCTAGGTTATCACCTTCGGATCAGATGAAGTCAAACAAGGTCCAACTCTACATGGGAGTCCAAAGCGTCCCAGATTTCCTTATCCAACCGCCTTGGACCTAGATACTTGTTCTTAGCAAAAGGCCACTGGTGTTCATTTCATTTCAATTCATGTTTGACCTTTAGAAGGTAAGAGGTCCAAAAACCTTGCAGGGTGTTTTAACCTTTTAATGTGAATGAGCCACAAGGATTACGATGGGCAGGGTGTTTCTAAAAACAGAGGGTTAGTTTGATCATTTTAGGTCAGTGAACTCCTCCGACCCTTACGAAGTCCAATGAGGATTTATGTTTCCGTCGCTGTTATCAAGAAATTTCAAAATGACTACCAGGACTGCACCGTAAAAAGCCTTCTAATAAAAAGGCAGATCGGTTTTGATCTCGGTCTAATCTAATTCGTTGAAATGTTTAATTCAGTAGTCTGACTGTCTAAAAGCCCATTTCTGAGGTGTACAGCTTCGTCTACCACTCGGTTGCCGCATCAGATGAAAAAATGTCCAAGGAATGACCTTCGCTAGCAGCCACGGAATGCATTCGACCTACCATTGATCAGAGACCTTACAAGGTATTTGGTATGCCAACATATCCGCTAAACAATTGCTGATTACTGAGCAAAGTTCGGCGCGGCTGCACCGTGTCGCTTGCAAATTATTCCGTAAAAACTTTCAGGGTTAAATTACCGTCACCCCCACCTGTACACGTTAAAGGTCAAGTCGAAATCCAAACATTCCATCTTTAAGGCACCTAGCACGGTGCGTGCCTATCTGCTGGCCTCGGTGTGCGTATTCGTCCCTGGGCCTCGGCGGGTGAACCCATCCCCGTTCCCAGTGGGTGAGCCCGTCCCCAACTTCAGAGCGTGTCCAGTCCCGCGGCCCGCAGCCCCTTACTAAAGCAGGTTAACTTACTGTCATCCTCAACCGGGCCCTGGACCAGAACGAGGGCAGCTGGGCAGGGGTGGGGGGAGGGGCGTGAAGGGCATCCATGGCTGGAGTATGCCGGACGGGAGGAGCAGACTACAGATTATTTAGTCGGTCCTCTGTCCGCCTATATGGTGACGGCTTCCGATGACGCACGGGCGCTTCCTCTGAGCGTGCCCTGGTACGGGGCTGCCGAGAGCGAGGCTGGGAGTCCCTGTCAGCCACGAGCGCGTCCTGGTAACGACTCTGCCGAGAAGCGAGGCTGGGAGTCCCTGTCAGGCCGAGAGCGAGGCTGGTGAGTCCCTGTCAGGCCGAGCGCGCCCTGGGTACGTCTGCCGAGAGCGAGGGCTTGGGAGTAGTCCCTATGTCAGGCAGCCGAGCGCGCCCTGGTACGTCTTGCCGAGAAGCGAGGCTGGGAAGTCCCTGCCAGGCCGAGCGCGTCCTGGTACGTCCGCCGAGAGCGAGGCTGGGAGTCCCTGTCAGCCGAGCGCGTCCTGGTACGTCCGCCGAAGCGAGGCTTGGAGTCCCTGTCAGGCCAGAGCGAGGCGGTGTCCCTGTCAGGCCGAGAAGCGAAGCTGGGAGTCCTGTACCTGCCGTAGCGAGGCTGGGAGTCCCTGCAGCCCGAGCCGAGAGCGGGCTGGAGTCCCTGTCAGCCGAACGCTGCGAGGCGCTTGGAGTCCTCAGGCCGAGCGCGTCCGGTAACTAGCGAGGCTGGGAGTCCCTGTCAGGCCGAGAGCGAGGCTGGGAGTCCCTGTGACTCCGCTTTCTCTGCGCGCGTCCTGGTAACTAGGAATCGTACTAGCTGCTTGGCTCGGTTTGGCTGTATTTTACATTGCACGAAGCGCGACCAAACTCCTACTAGCTTTCCTGACTTTCAATTAACCTGCATGCCTATACAGCCTAGTAGAAACGGTAGGGAGTATTTAAGAGGTCACGTTTATTGCAGTTGCAACAACGACCATTTCGAACAACTGACCAACTTTGACTTGGTTTTGAATTTGACTGACTTGGCTTCGTAAACTTGTTGTTAAATGGCTAATCGATAACCTCTACAGCGTTTTTTTTTCTTTCAGATGGCCCCCGATTGGAAATCATTTCCGTTTAAGATATTGCCGCTGAAAAATGAGATTCAGAAGAAAATAGCTCAAGATTTTGCAGGACACCCAAGTGGATTAGCGTCTTGCAATCACTGGGGCTTCAAGCTGCCGGCCACGGTCACTGAAACCGAACTGGAGAACATTTACAACTATCCGCTGGACCCGAGTGACGTCTGGGTGGTGGCGCCACCAAAGTGTGGTGGCACCTGGACCATGGAGATGGTGTGGCTCATCGTCAACAACCTGGACTACGAGGGAGCAAAGACGCCACTTTTTCCTGACAGGTATTTATTTCACTTGATTGTTCGGTCTTGCATAACCCTGGTGGCCGAAGCACCGCACAAAAACGTACATCATTCACGCACTTGAATACCAGTGCGCGTACGGAGGGGGGGGGGGGGCATAGGACCACTGAGTTTTGAAAAGCCGCATGCTTTTCAATTTTAGTGACTCGGACAGACCGAGCCTTCTAGAAGCCTCATGTTCGCGACCTTGCAACTCTGTTCTCTAGGATCTAACAGCTCCCTGTAGCTCTTAGTGTTTTCCTCAAAGGCAGGTCGCACAATTAATAAAGCAATTTTTGCCGACTTATTCGGAAAGGGTTCAGCAACATTGCGATACGAACGAAACATAGCGTTCCTGTTCGTTTAATGCGGAAGCGGTTAGGTCTTTGAAAAGCCACAAGGCCAAACACGAGTCGCGGCGGGGTTCAGGTCTCAGCGAGTCGGCTTCACAGCGACTCATCACTGGCATTGTGCGACGAACGAAGTTGCTAGCGACTGCTTTGTGCTTCATCATGAAGAGGGCTACTGGGCTGGCAGCACCCATCGATCAGACGGCAACCGTGTGGGGAAAGCGGTCGCTGCCTGCCGTTCACAACGGCACCCAGGCGTTAACGATAACTACCCAGATCTCTGGAGTGTGGATGCTCGCTGCCTGCCTTCCAGAACGACACCCAGGCGTTAACGATAGACTACCCAGATCTCTGGAGTGTGGATGCTCGCTGCCTGCCTTCCAGAACGACACCCAGGCGTTAACGATAGACTACCCAGATCTCTGGAGTGTGGACGCTCGCTGCCTGTCTTTCAGAACGGCACCCAGGCGTTAACGATAGACTACATAAATCTCTGGAGTGTGGATGTTCGCTGCCTGCCGTCCCAGAACGGCACCCAGGCGTTAACGATAGACTACCCAGATCTCTGGAGTGTGGATGTTCGCTGCGTGCGGTCCACAACGACACCCAGGCGTTAACGATAGACTACCCAGATCTCTGGAGTGTTGATGTATCTATGCAACCAAGGCACCTCAGCACAAAAAGCTCACTGCACGATGTAGGCAAGTATGTCGTCTATAGGTCATTAGTCAATCTCAACAGCGCTCGACCGATGACAATGGGTGCGCGGTCGGAAGCGAATAAGGCTTCTTTTACAACCATCCTGCGCCTTCAGGCGAATTAAAGTCGCTGGAGAAACTGGGTCACTGGTAGTGTTAGGCTCGATGTGAGCAGTATTCACTTAATTGTTCGTGCATATCAAACATGATTTTTAAGGGGCACCGATTTTCGTCTCTGTATTGCTGCCTTGTCCGCAGACTGCTAACACCTAGTCCAGTGCTGCCAGGGAATTAGAGCACCAGAAGCCTAAGCAGATCTGCGCGTCGGAACACAGCCTAACAGTTGGTATAGCCGTCCACCTACTCAGTGTTCATTATCAGTTGTTCCTGAATCGTGTTTTTTTTTAATGATTTGGGTCCATCGAAAACTTTGATTAAGAAAAGTGTAAGCGTGTAGCAGCCTGACATCCATAATTGCGTTAAGTGTGTCAACAACCTGTATAGTAGTTTCGGTACTCTTTTTTGTTTTATTTGTTTCGTGCGGGCTCACGTTTTTCATTGTCAAGCATATGAGACTACTAGGATGTTTCTTAGGTCACATAATAATGCTCAGAGACACACTAATCCAGGCACTTGTAGGCACTTGGTGCGTCCTAAGGAGGCACTTGTAGTTATCACCTTTACATGGCCACGTTCCTTCCTCACCCGTTTTGATGCTTTGCACCTTAACGTTGGCCGGATGAACGATGTGGAAATCATAAAAGAAGGTAATGTGAAGGCCAGCTTGCTAGAATGCACTGTCCTCCAAAAAACAAACGCAAGAGCTGGACGTTATTTGCTCACTGGTGGCTATGTCGTCAGAGCCGTCTCACAGGAACAGGAGCCAGCTCTAACTGCACAGATGGCAGCACAGTACGCAGTGGACCACGGGTGCTGTGCCCGCTCGCTCCGTCCCGCCTGTTAGAGCAGCATACTACGCGGCTGTCGGTTATTCTGCCAGTTGGGCGCGCCTTGGGCCGCACCGCACGCTGCTAACGACGAGAGACAGGGCGGTGACGCAGCCTCGGGCCGCACCACACGCTGCTGCCGACGGGACACAGGGCGGCGACGCAGCCTCGGGCCGCCTCGGGCCGCACCACATGCTGCTGCCGACGGGACACAGGGCGGTGGCGCAGCCTCGGGCCGCCTCTGCCGCACCACATGCTGCTGCCGGCGAGAGACAGGGCGGTGACGCAGCCTCGGGCCGCACCACATGCTGCTGCCGACGGGACACAGGGCGGTGGCGCAGCCTCGGGCCGCACCACATGCTGCTGCCGACGGGAGACAGGGCGGTGGCAACATGGCAGCATGGCATGCATGATAGCCACAACTACTAGGAGGTACTTTCCACGTTCCACTGGACCTGCGTAATCAAGGTGAACGCGGGATCAAGGTTTTCTGGGACACGATCACTGATGTAGGTTGATATTGATCTTGATGGAGACCGCTCGCTCTTACTGACATACAAAACAAGCGCACATTGAAGGGGATGCTCCACATTTGAAGGTATTGAAGCAAGCATCAGATGTGATGCCATAAGCCCGTCCGTAACTATTGGTGTACTTTTGAGCCGAAAAGGCTGCTCTAGACAACACAATTCATCTTTTCAGTATATGTTCCTCAATACGCCATTATTTCCTTGCGTCACGGAGCGTTTGTTTGACGTTGCGGTGCTACCAAACTCTCTGTGCGAAATCGCCACCCTAGCACTCACTTGTAGTCCTTCAGTTTCGCCAAGGAATGGCAGTGGCGGTGCTGGAAATGTTCGTTGAGTAAAATATCTTAATGGCTCTTGTTTGCATAGGCGTAGGAACGCCTCAAAATGTGGGGGGGGTAAGCTCAGGGCGTACTTCAGGAACTTTTTCAGGGAAACAAGCCGGATGGCCGGGGGGGGGGAAGGAGGGGGATGGTGATTATCGCTGTTTATTCCAAAGTAATGACTGCTATTCTAGATATGCATCTAGAGCTGTTTCTTACTGATGCGCACTCTCGCCTATGCAAAGCATCTATGTCATTCGGAAAAGAAGGCTATCCAGCTTCCCAAGATTATTCGTCCATTTCAACGTTGCCTTTCCTGGGGGGCCGAAATTCCACGAGCGGGTAGGCATTTTAGGACATTCAGGAGGCATCTGTCTTCACAGGGTAGGTGCCAAAATATGGCCTGAGCGTATGCTGGTGAAAATTTTGAAAGTGAATCGATAGCTCACAGTACAACAGATTTTCCATGCGCCTTCATTTCGATGGCTCCTTTTCAAGAGATATTTCTTGCCGCGGCATATTATGCGGAAACAAATTCTGAAGCTTGAAACCGCCAAAAACCATGTGACAAAAACCATAGAAATGAAAGCTCTTCGAAAACCAAGCCACAGAATGAAGGCCCTTCTGTCACATACTCTTTGTCTGAGCCCGGCTCCCGTCCGACGTCGGTGGCCACTATCCTGGCCCGGCTGTCTCCGAATGACTGACCGCGAACTGATGGTATGGCTGCTTTGTTGCACATTTCTGGATCGGCGTTGCCACTAATTGGGATGTAAAACATGTGCTGGACACCTGCAAAAGTACGTTTTACGAAATATCTTCCCTTACAACGCACTGCCACAGAAAAATACCGCCGGTAAGCTGCCTAGTTTAGGTATGAATTGGCCCAACGGACATTTAATTGCGTCATTCAACGTAGATGACTTGATCTGCTTTTATGTGTAGTAGGCAGTCAGGGGGTAGTCAAAGCCTTGCTAAGAGGAACACAGGGTTGACAAAATGGTGATCCCCACCCCACAAAAAATATCCCCGGATATAGTTAACTTGTTAATAAGGGATAGCGATTTTCTTGGTTTATTGCTATTTTTTCGTCGTAACCAGAACAGAAACCAGAAGCTACTGTGAAGTCAATTCTATTTACATTTTTATCACGCACCCGGGTGGCCGGCTAGATACCCTTCGCTCGGGTGGGAAATCAATTTGACCCTCCTGAGATCTCGCGAACTAAAAGACCTAGAGACACCAAATTAACAGGGTGTGTTGGCCTGTACGTGAACTTACTTAGGTCAAAGTGTGAGGTTCCTAGATCATGACTTTCGGGTCAAATAAGGTCAAAAAGGTGAACTTCCAGGCTGGTCTCTTAAGTGCCCCTCAAAACCTAGATAACTCTTTCTTAGCAAAAGATCGCATTTTCAGTGAAGGTCAGTGACCTTGTTTGACCTTTCGAAGGTCATGGTGCCCAAAATCTTACAAGACTGCTCTGAATTTTACATTTGAATAAGCGAGAAGGACTACGCTAGGCAGTATGTTTCTAAAAACAAAATGTTGACCTAGGTCATTTTAGGGCAGTGGTCTATTCTGATCTCGAAGAAGTCCATGGACGATGTAAAATGCGGTTCTTGCTATCAACAAATTCGAAATGAACACGAGGAACTACCCCATACAGCAAGCCCTAGAGTAATAATACAGGTTGGTTTTGACCTTGGTCTGACCTTTATAACTAACCTTAGGTCAACGTAATTTGCTCATTCAGTATTTGTGTTGCCTAAGGAAGCATCTCAGAGATGTATGGCTTCGTCTAACACTTCATTGCTGCATCAGATTGAACGATTCCCTAGAAGTTGACTTCGCTGAAACCATGGCCTGACTTTGACCTGCCATAGGTCAGCGACCTTACAAAGCACCTCTAAATTTGTGATCCCAAACAATCCGCTATTCAATTTTCTATTGCTATGCAAAACATGGCTTGGCTTTCAAGAAGACCGGCCGTTTGGAAACCATTCTGGAAAACCTTCGGGGGGCGAGTCAATTTGATCCCCCACCCGAGCGCGTGTTAAGGTCAATGAACTGCAGAAATCAGGCGTTTAACGACCGTATGGAATAACTCACCGGTGTCCTTAATTCGCAATGGCTTAGTAGACTCTATCTAAACCGA